AGTATCGTAACTTGGTCTCGTGGTCGGGAAGTGTCGCTTTGCCTACGAAACTCGGGGCAAGTTTCCAAGCACCTCGAGTTACAAATTCACAAGTGCGCCCATCATTGTACTAATTGTTTGCGGGGCTCCTGCATTGGGGTCAACTCTTCTCGGTTCGAATGATCAGCTCCTTCGCTTTACATGTGAAGCAAAAAAAGAGGAAAAAAGAGAAATAGTTGAAAACGGCCGTGGTCTGAGACGTCCCGATAACAATTGACACTGATAGAAACAGTCACGGTCTCGCTGTCGCGTACGACTCCGAGGTGACGCGTGATAATCGATAAAAAAATGTTTGTTAGTACGCTGCACACGCAGGCCGATATGTTGATCCTCGACTCCGGACTAAGAATTTAATGCACGAGGCCAGTGTTGGTAAGCATTCTGGTCGGCCAGCGAGAAGGGTGACCAGTGTGGCAAATGTAAATAGAAAGGTGGACACAAGGCCGAGATATTGGCGAAGAACGAGAGGGAAACGAATTAACCGCGCGTGTGCGCCTGCCGCGAGCCACGAAGTGTACATCACTGTCGCGAGGAAGTTTCTCTTCACTGATCTCGAAGATACACGAGAAACGAGGAAGAGATAGAGGAACAGACCAAGGGAAAAGAAGGGAACCACGAGAGCACATCGCTAAACTTGAAATGCTGCACGACGGGAATTCGTTCGTCGTAGCGAACGTCGTCCGTTAATTTCATTTCTTTTCTTCTTCTTTTTTTTTTGTTTTCTCTCCCGTTTGTTAGTGTAGCGCCGCAACAAGTATTATTTTTATACAACACGACAGCAGCGGGAATCCCCATTGGTGAGGCCGACCGTAACACCGACAGTGTTTTGTTTCGTTGATTCAATGGTCGATGCTGCGATGTCGTCCTGGCCCTCGTGTTACACGATTTGAAAAAGGGGTTTGTACCTTCTCTCTCTTTCTCTCTCTCTTTATCTATCTTTTCTTTCTTTGTTTTTTTTTCTTAATCATAAAGATTTGCCCTTCTATTCATTAGAACGAAACGTTGAATGAGACAACGTAAATCTCAGATCTCTCACGATTACCTCGAGAAAGCCAGCAAGAGACAGAGAGTTGTCCAGGTGGAAGACGTTCGCAGACAGGCAAGAAGAGACTTGTAAGGATGGCATCGTCCATGGTGGCTGTCCCCTCTGGCACGGCGTCAGTCCCAGCTGGAACTGGTATCGCTCAGAACGAGGACGTGGAAAACGGGAACGTGTTCAGCGAGCGGAACATAAACGCCGTCACCAGTTGCAGCGAGACCTCGAACTCTGGCAATGCTCTGGAGGAGATCAACTGTGGCTCTGGGGAGTCTGGCGATCAGGAATGCGCCATCTGCATGAGCAAACTCTGTTCACCGCGAGTGCTCTCCTGTCTCCATGTGTTTTGTGAGGCGTGCCTAGACAAGCTTCTGATGGACGAGGCGGGCGATTCGAAGGTTAGCTCTGTACTGGTCTGCCCGCTCTGTCAACAAGAAACTTCCATTAGTTCTAAGGGTGCCGCGTCGTTGACGTGCGATTATGTTTTGACAAACATACTTGACATGTCTGCGATCGAGAACATGGCTGTACTTTGTACCTCGTGTAAAGCCAAAGAGAGCGCGGTTGCGCGCTGCTCGGACTGTGCCAACTTCTTGTGTCCGAATTGCAATACCGCGCACCAGTTCATGCGTTGTTTCGAGAGCCACAAGGTCGTGGCCTTCGAAGATTTGAAGCAATCCAACGAAGCTATACCAATACATAAACCTATTTTTTGCGAGTATCATCCTGCTGAGAATATGAAGTTTTATTGCTATACTTGCCAGGTAATTGCTCTTTTTTTCTTAATTAAGTTGCTTGATTGTGTGATAATTTGTTAAAGTCGTTTGAGCCCATACTAAGTATGGATTATGTATTGACTTTTTACCATTATTATTATTTTCATTACTGTTATAAGCATTAGGATATTGTAAAGTTGATTTTATTATTATTAATTATTCAATTCAGGAACCTATATGCAACGAGTGTTTGCTTATTGAACACAAAGCTCCAGAGCATCAGTATGAACGGCTAATGGATGCCGAACCACGTCAGAAAGAAGAATTAATAAAACTGATGAACGAGAGCAAAGCAAGAATTGCAGATTGCGATCAAGTGTCTGCACAATTAGAGAATGCGCTTAGTGAATTGCAAGCACAACATGATCAAGCTAAAGATTTAATTGTAGAAACGTTTCAGAGTTATAAAGCTGTCTTAGAAAAATGTCGAGACAATGCCTTGGTTGAGCTTGAAAAGTTACATTCGGATAGGGAATTAGAAATAATGGATACATTTCACAGGTGAATGAGACGTTCTTTCTTTGTTTTGCGATGGATATTATTTACGTCTTTGAAAGATATTTATCAAACGATTTATATTCATAGCGTTGAGAAAACGGTGGAGAAGATAGAAGATGCTTGTCGTTTTACCTCCAGACTTCTTGAGCATGGTGATGCTGTGGAAATCCTCGCGCTTCGTCGTATCGTAGGAACACAGTTGATGCACTTAATAAAAAACACGCCAAAGCCAAATGTTTCGTTTTCTATTCAATTTCAAACAGACTATCACCAGTTTGAAAAAGCATTAAAGGTAGGTTACTATACTATGTACTACATGTTCAATCATATATTTCAACGGACAGAAATATGTTGAGGAAACACATGATTGCAGGAAATATTTGGTAAATTTCATACTGAGAGTACACCGGTAATAAAATCCACAGCAGAACCAATTACAACTATGCCAGGAGTATCCATAAATCAACAAGTTGTACATACCTCAATGGGCTGTCCTCGTTCTATTAATACAAGGTCTCCTATCTCTCTTCCCACATCAATGCAATCCTCCTTTGAAGGTGACCCATCGTTTGTTATACCTCCAACATCAAGCCCTCAAAATATTCCACCTCCACCACCTTCTGTGTCCCTCCCTCCAGGTCCCATTCATGGACTCACCAGTATTCAAGAGTACAATCTGCAGCAGTTGGCCAGTTTGGCAGAGAAAGTCGAAATGGTCGGAGATACGAATGTGGTTGGGCCCAGTTCGAATCCCAGCCCAACGCCACCTTTCACTTTAGCAGATTTATTTGCCGGCGATCTAAGTTCTACCAGCCATGCGATCAACAATTTGCAAGCTCTGGCAAAATTAGGAAATACACTTGGTAATCAAGGTATAGAATTAATCAGTGGCCATAAACTATGAACTATTCCCTTTTTCTCTCTCTCTTGAAAGTCTTGAAAGTCAATCAGCATTTCTGTTTATTTTTCAGATCTTGGCAATCCCACTATTAACGGCGGTAGCGGTCTGGTATTAGGAAGAGGTCCTTCACCAGCCATTGTCGACACACCTAACTTGAGTCTAGCTGCCAATAGTCTTTTAAACGGAGGATTTCAATCGTTATCCTCGTCCACTTCGCCGATACTTTCACAGGGCGCTGGTAAGATCTTTATGGATCATCATGTATATTTCAGATGAACTGAAATTATGTATTTCTTGCAGACGATTTAAGAGCAGATTCCATGCATAACATGCCCGTGGTAGTAGGAAACACGGTCGGCAATGTAACTGGTTCTGGTTCTGGAAATTATGCTCATCCACGTTCGAATAATACGAAATTAACTCCCATGCAAATCAGGTGTAAATTTGGGCAGTTAGGTCCGAGTAAAGGTCAATTCAGCTCACCCCACGGATTTTGTTTGAGCGCCGATGAAGATATTATCGTTGCCGATACGAATAATCACAGGATTCAGGTATTATCTACTCGATACTTAAAAATTAATTAGCTCAAACCCTCTGCTTTGTGCGTATTAACTAAAAATCTGCTTTTAGATATTTGAAAAGACTGGCGTATTCAAATTCCAATTTGGCGTACCTGGCAAGGAGGAAGGGCAATTATGGTATCCTAGGAAGGTTGCTGTGATGAGGAACAGTGGGAAATTCGTTGTTTGCGATCGAGGAAATGAACGATCGAGGATGCAAATATTTACAAAAAGTGGCCACTTTATCAAGAAAATAGCAATTCGTTACATCGATATTGTAGCTGGCCTAGCTGTAACTAGCGAAGGCCACATTTTGGCTGTTGATAGTGTATCACCGACGGTGTTTGTAATTAGCGATACAGGAGATCTGTTGAGGTGGTTCGATTGCAGTGAATATATGAGAGAACCAAGTGATATTGCAATAAGTGGTACATAATTTCTTTCCGGTTATATTTAATCGCGTAACATCTGCAGCTTTTACGAGTCACAAACTTTTTGTTTCATTTTCAGGTAAAGAATATTTTGTCTGTGACTTTAAGGGACACTGTGTTGTGGTATTTAACGAGGAGGGAAAGTTTTTGCGTCGCATTGGCTGTGACAATGTAACAAATTTTCCAAATGGGATCGATATTAGCGATGCAGGAGATATATTAATTGGAGACTCGCATGGCAATCGTTTCCATGTGGCTGTTTTTTCAAGAGATGGTTCCTTGATTTCCGAATTCGAATGTCCATATGTTAAGGTAAATTGCTCAAAGTTTCTTTAATTTCCTTCTTTTTGAATAGAGTGAGCTTCATTTCAGTTCGTTGAGATTAAATTTAGGTCCTTTCCGTTTTCACACGATCACCTGATGGAATTTCGCAGGTATCTCGATGTTGTGGCTTGAAAATAACCTCAGAAGGATATATCGTAACTCTGGCTAAAAATAATCATCACGTTCTCGTGTTGAATACTCTTTACATATCATGAAGCGAAGAGGCAGACCAAATAAGTGTGTCGTAACTTTCTTCAGCGAGTGGAATTTTCTTGGCGAATGTCGCTCTACTCTCAATGAAGAACGAATCGATAAAAAATGAAAAAAAAAAAAAAAAAAAAAAAAAA